GTGGGGGGGGGGGGCAAGGCCAGTGCTGCACCACCAGGACCCCGCACTGCTGCCTCCAAGGCTCTGTCATGGCAGCACTCCACCATCCCAGTTCATCCCCACCGTTGCCCATCATGACTAGGTGGGGGGGATGGAGCACCGCCACCCAATGCCCCGTGGTGCCACCGCTCTGCCTCCACCCCCGTATGCTCCCCCTACCACCCACTTCTGGTCTCATGTGCCAGAGCAGGGGGGCGAGGCTAGCACTCCACGCTGCCGCCGCCTCCATGGAGCAGGACTGGGAGTGTGGGGGTGAGGCCAGCAGTGCCTCACATCCCCACTCTGTCCCCTCCATCCCCACCATCATGGCAGTGCTCTGTTGTCCCAGTTTATCCCCGTCATCCCCCTCTGCCTTCAAGGAGCAGGGCTGGGGGACAGGGCAGCACCGCTCCAGCCCCCCGCTCCAGCCCCTCAGTCACCACTGTCATGTCGGCATTCTGCCATGTGTGTCTGTCTGTGCAGAGCACTCAGATTGGTTGTTTCAGTCAGCACTGTGATTGGCTGCCAAGACAACCAATCAGAGTGTGACTAAAGCATTACAGGCAGACAGACAGACTAAGGCTTTTATTATATTAGATAGGTTATAGCAAACCTTAATGTGGGTTAGTCTATTAAACACACACACACGCACATACACATGTTCAATAATATATCAAGCATCTGAAGGGCTGTTATCATTTCTGCTTGTCCACGCTGTTGGTAAGGTAGGGCAAAAAATGAAGAGATCATACAACTATCTGTAGGTGGGAAATGGAGGTTTTATGTATGATTTATGGCTGTCGTGCCATTGGAATGGGAAACTAGCATAGGACATGTTTGAAATATTATGTCTGAAATGTTCTCAGACATAAGAAGTTTTTAAATTTGCCAATGCTGCTTTCTTGAGCATAAAAAATAGTAGGAACATCTGGTAGACAAGTAAGTTACTGGGTTGCTGTTCTGAACAACATAGTAATCTGGGAGGGCTGGCAGCCCAAGGAATATTTGAGATATATCACTGCCAGGGCACCAGGATAAGGAAGGGTAAAGAATACCCCATGATAATTCAGTAATATGGGCAGGGAAAACATGCTCCTTTCATTCTACTGATAGAATGTTTCTTAGTTTAAGCACTCCTATTCTATCTTTAATTCTAATCTTTATGGAGAAAAGTGAGAGACCCTACTAAGACAAAAAGGGTAGATATACTGTGCACTATACTTGGTAAAACTTCAAATTTAATGTTTTGTCATGAGAATAGGATTTAAAAAAAAACAATTTCATAAGCTAGTATAAAAGAAATGGTTCATTTATAGTTACTGCTCATCTCTGTCTTAGTGACAGTTGGCTCATTAGTGACAGGGACTATTTTTTCCTCTATGAGAAAACACTGCAATTTGGGTGAACTTTGATTAAGATGACATACTGTAAGAAACTTTTGTTATATACAGATAAAGGTTAAATTTAAGTATTTTTCTTTTCAATGGTTAAAGTCCACAGCTCCTAAAATATCTGTTATAAATGTAAATAAGGTAGTATTTCAGAAATTGGGATAGTATAGTCAGAGGCAACCCGAGCAGGGTGTGGGGCCTGGGGCAAATCAGCCCATGCGAGGCCCCGCCCCCGCTCCGATCCCAGACCTGAAGAAGCTCGGCCGGGGGGGGGGGGGGGGGGG